CTCCCTCCCTCCCTCCCTCTCTCCCTCAAGTGTCTAATTCTTCACTAAGTGAAGATACTACTAAAAGGAGTTGTGAGTGCTGAGATAATTTAAGCAAAAGAATTTAAACAAGTTCCTAACACATGGTAAAGCAAATGTGTTCTTAAATCAAAAAATGAGAATAAAAAGCAACATTGAAACCGAAAACACCTGCAATACTCTCACAAAATATTGCCTTTTAAATATATAACCTCTTTGCATTTAAATGTTCAATCTCCCTTTAACTTTTGTTTTCTTTCTTCATACTTATTGATAGTTTCCAACCTTCCTACATAAGCATATATTTCTTTTATAATCAATAAGTGTTTTTTCAAAATTTCCAGAATTAATATTTATACACATATGACTTCCATGGTACTTACGTAAAAAGTGTAAGAATAGAAGTTGCATTACAATGAATGGTGCTTTCGTCACCATATAAAAGCTCTGCTTTGTTTCTGGTGGGAGCACGGGCTGCTTCTTCATCCAAAAGAACTAGTAAAGTTTTCACGGTATCTCTGCCACAGTATGATGTGTCATGGTTGATGGCATGAGATTTTGGCTAGAACAAAAAGCAATTTTAAATAAATGTAAAAATCTCTGCTACTAGGATGAGTCAGCCACACTTTTCCATTTCATCTGCCACTCTTCTTCCTCTGTTGTTGAAGTAAAAAAACATAAGCTATGAGAAGTGGCTATAAGACATATTAATGTTTCCCCTCGAAGCCATACTATTATCAATATTCTCCATTTTTAGATGCACAAAAAATATCACCAAAGGAAAATATTAGGCTCGGATCAAAATAACATTTGAATCAGAAAAACTTAGCCAATCTCTATCTATATAATCTCAGCCCTAGGAGGTGCATCTTCTCTCTTATATCAAAGAGCGAGAAAGTTTTGGAGATTTGAATACTAACCCTCATAGATGGTTGTTAAGATCTAATCAAATGCAAAAGTGAAAACTAGTTCATTCAATCATCATTATTAGTATATAGTACTTTCCAAGTACTATGCCTTAAGCTAAAGCTACAAAGGTGAAAATCACTACCTTCAAAGAACCCACAGCCTTGGGCATATTGATAAGATAAATAAGTAATCAACACATCATATTACAGAATGCTAATTGATATTTCTAACAAGTATATATACAATGGCGCAGAAGCATACAAAACAAAGTGGTCAGTGTACTGTGGAGTCAAGGATGGTGTCAGAGGAAGAGATATACAGCGGTAGGAATGAGCATAGATAGCACTCTTGGAGACTAAGAAGAATGACAAGATGGGGAACAAAAGACTAGGTAGAATGACAAGGCTGGGGAATAAGATACAGGAAGGAAGTAACACAGGATGAGTCTGGAAAAGCTCTGTACAATGTGCAAAGAAGTTATAAATCAGTCGGTTACACAGGTATTCTCTTGCTTTATCAAGCAAGCAAGTACAATAACATTACTTAGATTTTGAAAAAATTCCAATTGATTCAAATGTATGAATTGCCAAGATCTATAATGTCATGTGTGGCTAATAAAAAAAAATTTTTAATTGATGCTGGCAATGTGTAAAATATATTTCAGGATAAGAATATTATCAAATCTGGAGACAGGGTCACAAATTAAAAGGCCAGTTTAGGTATGACAGGTCTGAAGGTAGCACTAGAGATAAAACAGATTAAAAAGGGAGAGACAAGCCAAGTGCAGTGTAGTTCCAGCTACTAAGAGGTTGAGGCAGGAGTGTCACTTGAGTCCAAGAGTTCAAGACAGAACAGGCAATACAATAAGACCCCATCTCCAAAAAAGGAGGGTGGGCTAGAAAAACTTAGTGACTAGATAGAGGAAAAAAAGAGAATATATGATAAAATAATTTTGCAGATAGATATATGTAAACACAAACTGTAGATTTTGATACCAGATTATTAACTGTATATGCTATACAACTCTTGAGAAATTTCTTTACTCCTCTGTTCTTAAACCTGGGTTCAATATCAGATTATTCATTGTATGTACTCCTCTGTACTGGCAAAACAGGGGCCATGATAGTGCCAGACACACAGGGCCGATGAACACTGTGCCAAGATAACAAAGCTGCATTTTCTGGGCCATCTACTGCAGCTATGCCAGTTTCCCCAGCTTTTACCAACAGGGTTTTGGCCTCCTTACTCTACTCGGAAGACTCAGGCTACCAGGTGAACTCTAATGTGCAGCTCCATGGGAATTAAAACAAATGGCTTATCACAATCTGGTGCTTAACATATAGTTTCCATTAGTTTAATATTAACTTCCTGGAGTATTATTTGATTGAAATTTTTTAAATATCTGTGATTTGGTAGAAAACATAAAATTAAAAACCAGGCTGTTTATATCTTATTTCTTTTGCCATTTGGAAGAGACTGGTGCTCATAATTACCTGAGATTGTGACAGTTCCTATCACTTACAAAGATAATCTGGTTGTCATCTGAGGCAAACTAGTTGCTGGAAATGTTAACATATATGAAATAAATGAGGTGGATCCCAGAGTCACCCCCATGTCATGCCTTCAAAGTAAATTTAAAAAGATGTATTATTATAGAAAAATAGCTACAAATGGTCATCAAGGTCTGTGAATGAATCCGTAAATGATAAAATTAAGCAAGTTTATGTCTATATACTGGTTGTCATAATAACACCTAATGTAAACGGGCTTTTGTTAACTGGATAAACTGCAATAAATGAATTAAAAGGCATACTCCAAAATTCTGTTCTAGAGCCAAAAACATGGTAATCAATTTTTCCTATAATATCATAGGTTAGAAACTATTATATTTGATTACCTACATAAGAAAAATCAAGAAAGAAGTAAATGTTCTGGGAATATACAATATAAAAATTGCCATGTATGGGGAAAACTGGTAGAAAAGAGGTAGAAATAACTGATTACAGAGATCTATATAAAAAAAGTTAATTGCTGAGGAGAAACCATTTCTAATAGAACTGCTGCTGTCCTGCAGAGGACTCAGTCTTGGAGTCAGAAGCCAGGCTCTTAACTTATATCTGAGTAAATGGAAAGATAATTATTTTATAAGAATAGTTCCTGAGAAATACTACAAAGTATTTGTAGTATCCATCAAGAATCAGAAGCTTTTAGTGTCACAAAGGGTACTGGAGATTATCCAATAACTTACTTTAACAATACAATTCTTCCCAAAGATGTTATGATTTATGCAAGTTGAACATAATCCTGTTGAGAAAATTAAATTTTCAATATCATCTTAGAACACAGGAAATGCACTCTTCAGACTTAAGTATCAGTAGTAAACCATTTCTAATAAATACAAGAGATGATGTTTTGTTTAGACACACAATGAAGAATAAAAAGCTCATTACCCGGGCAGGACTGATGTCAGGGGTGCTGACAGCTACAGCCTCTTGTTGAGAATTGATAATGTTTTTAATCCTCAAGTCCAAAGCCTGAGCAGCTTCCTCAACTGCTTTATAAAAAGGATCCCTGCTGTTCTGGCCTTTAGTCAGCTGCATCTTTATCACTGACAGAATCCGACTCCCTGCAATGCTGAAAATAGAAATAAGATCATCTTTATAATAGTATTGCAAACAGCAATGTGCTTATAAGCTTGAAAATATAATTTTCAGCACTAATCAACACCTTTCAAAGAATTTTGCTTTGATCTTATAAATCAAACAGTAAAGCATTTAAGAAAATGATAAGAACCATTACAAACAAAATGTTTAAAGTTTTTCTAGAAACAAGTAATTTCAACAAGTGACATTTTCCTTGATTTGAAAGCTGAAGGGAAATACTTCTGTTATACATGAAATGTGATTACAGATCAGACCCACTTATATACATGCAATATACTTAAAGTATGTACTTTTAGATATTACTAAAATAACAAAAAACAGCTACCTCTCAATGAACGTCTAGAATGTTACATTACTGTAATTTTAAAACCAGTTCGAAAAGTTGTTAATGTTACCTCTAAATCATAAATGAGAGAATTGAGTCTCATGAAGATTAAATTACTTGACTGAGAAAATCGTGTTTGGGATAGGAGGAGACTGACCTGAAACATACAATATACCATTCTAATATGTGAAGGTTACTATATATGAACAAGGAAATTAAACAAGTTAGTACTAATACAAAGCAAATCAGAGACTGGACCAACTATGACCAATATACAAGTGTTTTTAGAAACCTGAGATGTTCCTTTATTCCAAGACTAAACCTGAAGGAATTTGGATTGCAGCTCCTGCTGTAGAGAACCTGCCAAGGACCAATGTGAGAGATATATAGGACAAAGGATCTTGGTCCATCCCAAGGCAGGAATTAGAGATATCCAACAAGATCTTCAAGGAATCTCACTTGAAGTCACAAGATCCTCATTCCCTGAAGCACGCCTGGAAAGTTGCACAGTACAGAATGGGAGAGAAGTCTGGGCTGACCATGGAGTCAGGCTGCCTGAGACAAATGGCACTTTTGCCATTTGCTGCTGAGAGTATGCTGCTAAACTTCTCTTTGTAGTAGCATAAGGAAATTTTATGAATTGAAGTTTGCATCCTCACAGCTTTATTGCCAGGTATTACATCTTAGAGAACAGCAGAACTCCCTAACAAGCACGGGAAATATGATAGTTCACATTAAAATAACTGGTCCAGAGAGAAAAGTTAAAAGAAAATCACAGAGAAACTTAATTTATGATGACAAAACATTAGATCAGTGTCTCACAAATTTTCCCAATCATCAGAATCAGATCAGTTTTGTTTAAACATCAACTCTGGATCTGATCCTACTGAATCAGCATCTCCAAGGACACTGGATAGTAGCATTATTTAAAAAGCAACACTGGTGGTTTTTATAAGGCAAAGTGGAAAACATTTCAGGCAAAAATTAGGTCTTTGAGAAAGGAAATCATAAATAATCTTCACATACCAATGTACACTTGACACACAGAAGAGATGATGTTTGTAAAGGAAATGAACATTATTCAATCTGCAGTTTTTAATAGTAAAACTCAATATATAATTTACTATTTATTTATATTATTAGTTGTAATACAATAGTGCTTAAAGTGTTTGCACTTACTCTACAATAAGTGTAAACACTCTGGGGAAAAGTCTCCCTGAGCATGGTGAGAATAGAGGAAAATCTCCAAATACCCAAACTCTCCTTCAGAAAGGAATGAACAAGAGCTGGAGTGGTAAGTGGTAAGTGGGAAGTTGTGAGTATAATAAAGCAGGAAGAATGAGGTCTTCCAAAGGCAAATATCTATAGAAGCATTGTGATCAGAACGCAAAGCCCTGGGCTAGCAACAAGTGGGATAGGGCAACCAGTGACTTTCACTGTCAGTCTGAACTTTCCAAGGGGGAAGGAGCTGGTGTGGCTTTTATTAGGTTAATTGTATGTACCTTATATATTTAAAGCTATTTTTCTGAAACTTTATCTATCTAGTGAAGGTATAGAAATACAAGTATTTTTTATTTATTGACCTTATGATCAGATATAGAAATACATTTACTTCTTTAATTCTTAATTTAATTCTTTAATACATTTACTTCTTTTATTGACCTTGCATCCAGCAACACTGTTAAACTCTAATGCTAATTTTAAAGTTTTAATAATTGTTTTTAGATTCTTGGAGTTGTCTACATATATAATCATTATCAAATAGCTTTATTTCTTCATTTTAATTGCTTTATCTCCTTTTTTTTGCCTTACAAACCTGAATTAGACATCCAATACTGTGTTGAAAAGAAATGAAGACAGCAGTAACTTTTAATCTTAGTAACTTTTAATCTTAAACTAAATACTAAAATATTTTATAATTAACTAGATAAACTAGGTTTTTATAGAAACCCTTCTACTAGGCTAATGCCCTCACTCGTATACACTGAGGAATCAGCCCAAGAGAGTGGTAATCTGCCTCTATTAGACCCACTCATGTTGGGCAGACTCTGGATTTTGTCCCCTCAGATTCAAACAACTAAAAGAATAGAACTCCAGTTCACCAAATTAAGCAAATGCCCTCAAAATAAAGGCTGGTTTCTTTTTAACTTGCCTCTTTGGCTTTCTTCTTTTGCATATTCTATGACCTGCATTTTCATTACATTTTCCTGTTCATCAAGGCTTTATTAATTACTGTTAATCAAAGGGTTGATCAGGGGACCTAGCCTGTCATATTTCTATAGTCAAAAGTCTGAGTAAATTCTAGGATAGTTTCAAGTACACAAGAACTTTCTTTTTCATGTGTTTTTTTTCCCCTTAATTTCCATATAAAAGCACAGAAATTAACTAGATAAAATATAGTTAAAATGAAAATATAATTAGCATAATATACTTTTTTCTGAGAATTAATCTTATGAGAAAGGATTTTGAAAAATATTCAAATGGCTAATAAAATACAAAAGCATGTCTTAGTGCCAATCACAAAAATTTATAAAAAAAAAATGTTTCCAATGATTAAAGAAAAAAGTCACCCTTGACCTTCTTTTCCCATGTTCTCAACAAGAATAAAAATGGTAAATTTTAAAGATTGTGTAATTCACTGAGGACCGTTTAGGAAAAAAATTCATAACTTACATTTCAGACTTATATTTGCCTAGGTTAACAATTTGAGCCGTGGCTAAATACCCCAAACACTCATGCTATCACTAGTTTATTACAATATATTCACTACTAAAGCCATCCATTAACTTTTTCAATATTTGCCATTCAACATAGTGGCTTAATTCAAACTTTGCCTCTAGAGCCTAGAAACTCCACAAGTTTTATTTGTTTGTTTCCTAGTGTTGGAGACTAAACCCAGGAGTGTTCTACCACTGAGCTACATTCCCAGACCTTTTCATTATTTTATTTTGAGAAAGGGTCCCACTAAATTGCTGAGGCTGACCTCTAACTTGTGATCTTCCTGTGTCAGTTTCCCATGTAGCTGGGATTATAGCTGTGTGTCACAGTACCCAGCCAGAAGATTTAACTCAAATTACCCCATGATATCTGTGCTATGCACAGGGGTTACAAAGTGAAGAAAACCTTTTTCTTAACTGTAGTTCCTAATTCGTGACTGCATCAAACCAGAGTGCTGGGGCAGAAAGAGAAAAATTAGGCTAATAATGAAAAGCATAATTCAATTCTTAAGTTCCAAATAAAGTAACTTGAAGAAAACACTGAGCAATAACAGAGAAGTGACTGCCAATACTTGAAAGTAATTATTGATTATTCTTCATTCTACTAAATAAAGTTATCGTCTTTTCTGTATCATATTCAAAAATTTGATAGCTGTTTGCTGAAATGAATTCTACCTTTAAAAAGTAAATCTGATGAAAGGCACCACATAAAATGTATCAAAAATGCTTCAGAAATTTTTAAACAAGAAAAATTTTAACATTCTAAAGCACATACTAAATATGTAATGCTGGTTTGCACTAAAATTGGGTAATAATCTTGAAAGACAGCATTTAAAACTTTTAACAACAACAACTAATTTATATAACCTAAAATCCTTTAACTCAGGACATTTTTTTCAGGTGAAGGTATGGTATGCATTTTGCGGTGGCACCTACTGGCAAAGTGTAGAAATGCAGCCAACTACAGCTAAGATGGCCTCATGAAAAGCTGGCAAGAGTGATGAATGTGAGAATCAATTCTCCCCCCCGCCCTTTTCTCCCATGTCTATTCCCATTCTTCCATGGGCTGAAAGGTGACTATAACTCCCCTATTACAAGGTCACTATACAAACTTATCCTCAGATACAAGAGTTAAATATATTTTTATTTCCAAGTTTTAAGGTTGAGAGACAAAAAGGATAGAGACCAAGAGTGAAGACAGGCAGGAATCTGACTATATACAATTTTGCATACCTCACTGAGATTCCTGGGGCTTTACCCTATACCTACTATGCCATCATTGAAGGTCTTAGTCATGGGCTTAACATTCACTGCTTCAGGAAGATCATTCTGGTAGCAATAAGATTAACAGGATGGAGCAAAGCAAGACTGAAAGCAGAATGGACAACTCAGAGACTGGCAAAAAAGTCCAGAAAGAATTAAAGTCTAAAACAGACAGCATAAAGACTGGAAATAAGATGGCAGCTACAGGAATAGAGATGAGGAAGAAGAATACAAAAAGTGTCACAGAAGAGGAGTTGGTAGATCTAGGTGAACCAGGAGATAGAGAAAGGACAAAGGCTTCACCACTTTAGAAGAAACACCTTTCCAGGGAAAGATTAAGATGTAGTTTGAGACATGTTAGGTTTGAGCTGCCTTTGAGGTACTACCTCAAAGACAGTTGAAGATATATCTCTAAAAATCAGGAAAGAAGTCTGGATTTCACTGAAATATAGATTTGGAAGAATTTGCATAATGTAATGAAAGGGGGCTAGAAAATAAGAGAATAGTATCTTAGATGTTATGAGGGAAAAAAAAGAGTTCAAGACAGTAATCATATATACGGACTCAAAAGAGTCCAAAGACAATAACAACCAGATGATCACAAAAGCTTATAGGCAGAAGAGCTTTGGGAAACATGAACAGGTATGAGTTGGTCAAGTATAAGAAAGGAAATGAATACTGAATGTCTGCTCTGTGCCAGAAATATTAGTAAAGAAAACCAATAAACCCTCAAAGAGCTTACTGTCTCCTGAGAAATGCACATTAAATAACTAGAAATAGCAAAGTATTAAAAAATAGCATTTTCTTCAAGAATTTGAGCTGTAAAAGGAAGAAGGAACTGGAAGAAACAGAAGAGATGGTGTCTTGCTTTTTCTTATTTTCTTTAGATTGTGGCTAAAGTCCAAGTAGAGAGAATAAAACAAAATAAATTAACAATGAAGCCCAATAGGTTGTCCACACCCCTGGGCAACGTCTTCAAGTTTACATAAAGTGTTTAGCACAATGTCTTACACAATTAGCGTTCAATAAATATCAGCTATTTTTATTAATTTTTAATTTTTTAAGAGAGAGAGAGAGAAAGAGGAGAGAGAGAGAATTTTAATATTTATTTTTTAGTTTTCAGCAGACACAACATCTTTGTTTGTATGTGGTGCTGACGATCAAACCAGGGCAGCACGCATGACAGGCGAGCGCGCTACCGCTTGAGCCACATCCCCAGCCCAGCAGCTATTTTTATTAGAGCCATGCTATGGAATAACAATCAAAACCACAGGAGTCCACCATAATTGTAAGCATGTACATTCCACTTCTAACTTCCAAAATTTTTCTTTAAAATTTATCATCTAATATATCTATATTACAAATGCAAGTCTGAGATTAAAAAAACCCTCTTATTTCTAATATCATATAAACAAATGACAGATGAACCAAAGATTTACACATTAGAAAATAAAAGATAACCAGTATAAAACAGAATAGAGAATTCATCATATTTTTTAATTTTCTTATTCATTCTTAGTACCGGTTTCCTTCAACACTAAATTAAAAGTTTAAAGGAATTATATCTATTTGGCTATTTCTAGTCTTCAAAAATCTGTTTCTTCTAGATAAAAATATTAATATTAATACTTTTTTATTAATCTAAGTTAGTTTGGATGTACTTTTAATTTTGGTAAAAATATAAGAATGACAGCAAGGCATACAATAATTTATTCATCTATTTTGCTTTTCCTCTCCATTTTTTGGCCTAACGCTTGATCATTTTGATATCTATCATTCCTACCTGTGATTTTTGTGAAGTTTTAAAGATAGGCTAATAAGACAAATTTGTAATTTATGAAAAATTATTACCTTGGACTTGATACTTCTCCGAGAATCTCATTTAATTTGTCAATTAAATGAATAAAATTAGACAGTCCCTTTACATGTTTCCTTAAAGGATCAGATGGTGATGGTGCATAGCCTTTCCCTCCAAGTTCTAATGTTCTAATAAAGGATGTAGCCATCTGTGAGTGGAAACAAAGAGTTTACTCATGTTTAATGATTAAGCAAAAAGCTACAGTTTATCTTTTGAAGCTAGATCTATGTAGATTTAGGAATACAGTTAAAATGAAGCACAATTTACGGCTCATACCACTCTTCATTAACCAAAGAAACAAGTGCCAGGCAGAATTCAAGCACCAAGGTTGGAGCAATAATGCCCAGCTCAGGTGGAGGCTGATGGGCTAAGTCAGAGAGTAAATTAAGGACTAAAGATCATCTTCACATTCATAAGAACAGGTCATTGACTATAAAGAATTTGTTGACATTCCTGAACTGATGTCAGACTCCTGGAACCATTATGAAGAACAAACTTGTTTTCATTGTCAACTAATCTACTATGAATTGTCTGGCAATTCAGCATTTCCAAACTTTTTCTTTACCTTTCTTATAAAATAAATATTTAGACTAGATAGCCACTAAGTTCCAACTACATCTTGCATCCTAGACTATTTGATCATGTGTAAAATGCTTTTTCTTAACAAAGATAAAATATGTATGTGATGGTTAAACATAAGAATGTCTCCATCAAAGAAAAAATGTTTAGTAGATGCATTTTCCAAAGCATTACCCCAAGAAAGACAAACTCTATGAAATACCAATAATTTGGGAGAAAGCTCCATGGTGAAATAACTTAGAAAATAACAGATTAAATAATAAGGTTAACTTCTTTTAAAAAAAAAATCTTTTTAGTTATAAATGGACACAATATCTTTGTTTATTTTTCAGGCGGTGCTGAGGATCAAACCCAGTGCTTCACACATGCTAGGCAAGCACTGCACCACTAAGCCACAACCCCAGTCCCAGGTTAACTTCTTAAGAAGCAGACTTCTTTATGAAGGAACTTCTCAGAGTTCTTCATACATAAACATGCATTATGAATTACCAACGGGGAATATACTATTTCTGAAATTTATGGCCTTGGAAACATTTATACGAGAAGAATTTACCAAGGCTAGGACTCTACAGAACACATGTAGTTAAACGGTGCTTTAGAGAATTTCTCCCTTGCCAAACATGAAGAAAATAGTAAAAAATAAAAATACCATTGGTTTTCAAATACAGAGATAGAACATGAATTGATTGATTAAAAGTTGTTTCATCATAATCATAAGAACTCTACATCAGATCCCTAAAGTTCAGGAACAATGCCAAGAATTAATAATTAGGATGGCATCAAATTAAAATGCTTCCGCACAGCAAAGGAAATAATTAGGAATGTAAAGTGATAACCTGCAGAATGGGAGAAAAACTTTGCTAGCTAGTTTTCTGCCAAAGGATTAAAAAACTTAAAAAAAAAATGAACTAAACAGATACTTCTCAAAAGAAGAAATAAAAATGATCAACAAATATATGAAGAAATGTTCAAGATCATTAGCAATTAGGGAAATCAAAACTAAAATGAGATTTCACCTCACTCCAATCAGAATGGCAATCATCAAGAATACAAATAATAATAAATGCTGGGGAGGATATGGGGAAAAAGGAATACTTTTCACTGTTGGTGGAATTGTAAATTAGTACAACCACTTTGGAAATTAGAATGGAAGTTCCTCAAAAGACTAGGCATGGAACCACCATATGACTCAAATATACCACTCCTCAGTATTTATCCTAAAGAATTAAAGTCATCTTACATACCCATGTTTATAGCAGCACAATAGCCAAACTATGGAACCAGCCTACGTGTCTATCAATGGATGAATGACTAAAGAAATTGTCACACACACACACACACACACACACACACACACACACACAAAAGGAGTTTTACTTAGCCATAAAGAAAAACAAAATTATGTCAACTGCAGGAAAATGGATGGAACTTGAGAATATTATGTTAAGCGCCAAACCCAGAAGGTCAAGGGCTTTATGTTTTCTCTCATATATGAAAAGTAGAGAGAGAAAAGGAAAAGAAAGGAGGATGGGTGAAAATATCACAAAAAAATCCAGGGGTATGGAGGAGAGAAAGGAAGTGGAAAGTGCTGGGGAGTGATACTGGCCAAAATACATGGTCATATTGTGTGCATGTATGAGTATGCAGCAACAAACTCCATCATTATTTACAACTATAATGCAACAATAAAAAATGTGCAAAGAGGAAAAAAAAGAACTCTATATCAGGGTTTATGAACCCACTGCTCAAAGAGTCTTCACACAATCATGACAATATAACATTTCCATACCAAATAGATAGACATCTGTTTCTCTTGAGCAGCATGTTTCAAATCAGTGAAGGCTTCTCTTCCAAGTCCTCTATCAGGAATATTGAGAATATGAGCCAGAGCCAGGTCATTCTTTGAATTTACTAGCAGGCTTAAATATGAAAAGATAACTTTCTTTGCTAGTAGCTGTACCTGTACAATAAAATATTCAGTTATTTTCTTTATTGCAGTTATTCTAAATATTTTCAATGTATAGTAGTACATATATAAATACACCACAGTGAATCTCCACATCATGTACAACCACAAGAATAATACATGTATGCATAGCATGTTGAAATATACTCTAATGTCACGTATATTTAAAAAGAACAAATAAAAAGAATACATATGATGATTTAATCACAATACTTCACAGTTCTTTAGGAAATGAGAATTGTATATAAACTGAAACCTTAGGTTGCATAGTCAACATATTCTTTCTTATAAATAAACTCACTGACAATAAGAAACCATGAGTACATAGTAATTATTATAATTATTGGAAAATGACTGTTAAAAAATGATACAAAAGATACAGTTCAAATCTGCATTTCTAATTCTCTTGCATACATCAGCCACTAAATAATAGCCAATAATAAAATTTCAGAAGCTTAGACCACGAACCAACTGGCTCTATTTGTTCCGATAGCTACATTCCTTAAATGCCAGATTTAAGGACTAAAGTTAAATGTTTAAGTTTTGAGAACTGGTAGATATTGAAAATGAAGAGATTTAACTAAATGTTAAATAATAGCATTCAGTTGATGCTGATATTTACTGGTATCATGCAGAGTTACAGACTATTGAAGCAAAAAATAAGATTAGGGAGAACTTGACAGAGGCATCAAGTCTTGTGTATGTGTGTATATATATCCACATTTACAACTTACTCTTTAAGGCTAAAAATATTCTAAATTTCTGATCTGTGATCCTGGGCAAACATCAGGAGAAAACATCTTGGAGTCCTCACAGACGGAGTGTTTCTTTTAACTCATGGCTGAATTGGACATCTATCCCCATCATTATGGTCAAATAACACGGCAGTTATGGTTTCCCTGCTCTTGTATGTGCAAGTGGGTTTTAAAGAGGCTCTCTGTAAAAGCAGTCCACATGAGTACAGTTATGATGTCCAGAAGCAAGGGCTTAAATTAACAAAATCCACAAAACTGAAGCTTTTCCAAGATACCCAAAATAAGGATACTGTTCTATTTATTTGTTTAATAAACTAATTCCATCCATACCACAAAATATTTGTGAGATTTGTTTAGAAATTGGACAATTTTATTTAAGCTTTCTGACAGTTCCAAGTTGCTTTTCCTATCCCTTAATTCTTACTGAAATGCTGATATTCAATCTCAGTTTGAACAAAGTTTTTCTAAAATAAAAAAATTTGCAATTTGTACAGGTATTTTTTTGCCTCCTTGGTTAACAGATACATGTTTACATTTGCCAAAAATAATAATAATAATAATAACAATAAGTTGGATTAGAACAGATATACTCATAGAATTTTTTATTTAAGTAATGATTTGGGGGGGCTCTTTAATCGTTTTCCCTTCATTACTCAGAATTCTAAAACAGTAGTTTAACACTTTAGGAAAAATAAAATAAAGAAACAAAAATATTGTTTCTTAAATTCATTCCATTCTTCTATTTGAAGATTTTGGTGTAAGCAAATTTGGTGATCAAAGTATATCTTGGCAAGACCATAGCCCAAAAAAGTAACTTTAGCCTTTCAATAGAAATATATTGACTTCCAAAAATACCTTCTGAAAAGAAAAATTAGAAACTTCAGAGCTGTCAATGTAGCTCTAACTTTAATGGCCCTCAGAAAATCAAATCCACCAGCTAACTAGTAAGATAAAATTCTCCTAGAAAAGACAGTCCCAGGAAGCAAAAGATAAAAAGCATAGGATTAACACAAAGAAACAATTTGGGGCAGCCTGTTTGTGCCTCCTGAAGTGATACAAAATGAAATTCTCCACATCGGTTATAAACTATTTCTTAAAAAATATTAAGCCCAGGGGCTGGGGATGTGGCTCAAGCGGTAGCGCGCTCGCCTGGCATGCGTTCGGCCCGGGTTGGATCCTCAGCACCACATACCAACAAAGATGTTGTGTCCGCCGAGAACTAAAAAATAAATATTAAAAATTCTCTCTGTCTCTCTCCTCTCTCACTCTCTCTTTAAAAAAAAATATTAAGCCCAAATTTAAACTTCTAACTTCCAGTTTATTAGAATTACAGCAAGTAGCTGGGCATAATGGCATGTGCCTATAATCTCAGTGACTCAGGAGGCTGAGGGAGGAGGATTAGAAGTCCAAAGCCAGCCTCAGCAACTTAGCAACCCCTATCTCAAAAACAACAAAACCAATAAAAAGGACTGGGGTGTAGATCAGGGATAAAGAACCCCTGGGTTCAATACCTAGTACCAAAAAATTAAAAGAGAGAGAGACAGACAGACAGACAGACAGAAAGCAAATAAAAGAACAAGTTAAATATTACCAGAGTATTCATCAGATAATTAAAAAGGAAGAAACAAAATGATGAGGGGAATTCTTTAAATTAAGAGTCTAAAGAGATATAAAACCATTTTGGGGACAAATGCTGAAACTGGAGTAGAAAGGTAGTAAAATTATGTTAATGGGTATTTAAGTTTTCTTTATATGATAAGTGATACTGTGGTCATCCCTAATTTGCAGGAAGTATATGGTGAAGAATTTTAGAGATAAGGTGCAAAGGATAGAAATAAAATCAGACACACATAAAAAAAACTAAACTAAATTAAATCCAGAATGCAGGTATTTACTTGAAGGCAGTAATAAAATATGTTTTTAAAAGTACAATCTGTAAAATATAGGTCTTCTGGAAGAATCAATCTCAGAAAAGTTTTCTGAAAAATTAAGAAGGTAATTCACCAATGTGTTGACTTAATGCAGCAGTTGGTTATACAAGTAGGTGCACTCTAGATCTTTTATACACCATATTTTTTAAAGTATGTTAAATATAATTTTACTATTTTTCCCAATACTCTCTAACTCTTGTCAATGGTGATTTAATTAATCATAGAAACTTCTATAAATATAATTCCCATGGTCAGTGGGGGTCACTACATGTAATCAGATACCTAGCATAACATGCAGCTGAAAGCAAGTTGTATTAGACCAAACCTGTATGTGGCTCTAATGTTCTGTAATTCGTTTCCACAGCAAAACCTGTGGTCAGAACTCTTAATCATAGGTAGGACATCATTTGTATTACTTCGAAGGATACAGGCCAGATTTTTCAATAAAACATGTTCTCCCAAGAATCACACATCTAAAATAGTATATGTGAGGTGCAGAAACTGATAACTGAAAGTTCACCTATTTTTCTGATTCTTTGAATGATACTTATTTTTGCTTAGTGGAAGTTGCCTTGGCCTCAAACCATGAATAACCTGATTAGTATCAGGCTCTTTCTCTAGACTCCAGTGTATTAAAATTTTTGCAAATAGTTTATTTCAACAAACTGAAAACTTATAAAAATTTTAAAAGAACAAAACATTAATAGCTCAAATGAACCATCAAATACATAGTGATTTGAAGGGGCTCATATTCTGCTTTAATTTACTAATCTATCAATACCTTTTCATGATCCTGGTTGTGTTTTACCGGTGACATTGGCATAAAAAGATCATTTTCATCATCTCCTGCATGCTCTTTGCCACAGAGAAAATCCAGTAGTTGAATCTGCAGAAAATATAGGGTATTACTAATAAAAAAAAAATTCACACATAATGTCACTGATATTCCAGTGCAGAATATTACTTGATATTTGTTGGCAGTTATTGACTATACATGGAATTCTTCATATGAGATATTAGCATATGATATTCTTTTTCATATTTCATAAATCCTTCAACTTGACTGATAAATGACAATCTTGATCAAGGATAAGATTTGCAGGTCCTCTTCCTTCAGGGCATGGAATTAAAATTTTTGTTAAATAACAAATTTATATTTAAATTATAATTAAAGGATAAATTAGAGTTAAATAAAGAAACTAGTAAGAGTCATCATTATCCTTAAGAGTTCAGGAATTTCACCAGAATGTGAAGAGGCACATATTTTCTCATCAATATAGCCTGGAACTGTTAAATACTCATCATTAGCAGAGTTGGGTCTCCCAGCTAAGGAAACTGTTTATTATAACAAATATACATATTTAATTATGCCCTCATATGCATCTGTTTTCCTTCCTTGGAGTACTATCATTTTCATGTTAATTCCTCTAGATTTAACCTCCAAGTTTCTTTTCCTTTATTTCATAATGTTGTATTTATTCTGTACTTTAAATTTTTATTGTGCCTGAATAAAGAAAATGCAGTATATATATCATGGAGTTTTATCTAGCCATAAAGAATAAAATGATGTCTTTTGCAGGAGAATGGATGGCACTTAAGGGGTGAACCTCATGCAAATAGAACGGAGATGGATAGAGGAAGGAAATCTGGAGGAGGGAGAAGAAAATGGGAGGTACTGACCAAATTATATTGTTTTATTGTGTGCATGTATAAATGAATTCACTATCACATGTAATTATAATGCACAAATTAAAATCAGACAAATAAAAAAATTTATTGTCCTTGATTTTCAGGATACTAACTTGATTTTAAATTTGTTTTTATCTTCTTTTTTTAAAAATTCTCATAAAAATGGCTTATTTTTCAAAAAGAATAGGAGTTACTCTGAAGTATTTATCTGTATGTAGTTAAACAACTTTTCCTGCTTCATACTCTCATGCTTTATTTGAAAAATTAATAAGCTTTTATCACTTATATAAGCATGATAATTTTATAACCTGGTAATTGCTAAAAAAAAGGGTGGGGAGGGGAATGAACCTCTGTAATAGCTTATAGAGGAAGAACTAGCTCATAAAAGTCACAAAGGTGGAGACATCTTACACAAAGAATAAATTCTTATCATACTCAGAACATCAGTTGATGAAATACTAGCCTGCATCTAATTCCTCTTTGTGAGTTATTTCATTCTCTCTGTTGAAAGCCTCCAAAGAAATGCAGGTACTTCCAAGGAGAATGGAATTCTTGAGGCTGAATACTTCCCCCCAACACCTGCAGCTTTGAGAATAAAGCTTTTATCCATCTCTTAAAACAGAACACCCTAGACCTTACATGTCCCTACAATCTATTATATACTATTTTATCAATCCAGTCTGTGATAACATTTATCACATTTAGTCCTTTTGATCCCTCTCTAGCGAAAGGCTTTTATCTGCATGCCTGAGGAGAGCCAGCCCACCTGTCCACATACCTGAAAGAGGGACCCAAAAGCAGCAGAGGAAGGGTTGGGGTTAAAAAGCTTTTTGTTTGTTTGTTTTTTGGGGGAAGAGAAAAACAAATGTTTGTGGATAAAGTTTGGAACCAGGGCACAACACGGGACAAACATTTATAAGAACAAAATCTTGCTTTGTATTTAGTAACCACAAGGTGTCCACAAAGACAGGTGTCTCTAAGACATGAGGACTTTGGAGGTTTGCTGGCAGTTTTCTGGGTTAAACTGAAGGGCTTGGGCTTCTGCTTCTGCCCAAGATGCTGGGCTGAGGCCGACAGGGTAAGATCTTCCCTAGGAGTGAGGAGGTCTGGTGGCCCTAACTGCCCACTGCACCTGTTGGAGGCCTAGATCATGCAAGGCCTCCTCTTTCTGGAGGTGGCTGCAGAGCTGACCCCTGCAGGCATGGGGGACCCACGCTCTGGATCTCCCTTAACAAAGGTTAGAAGAATCGCCTGGTGGTCTCAGGTTCCAACTAGGGGCTGCTTCCTCAGGAGTGCTGTGTTTTCTGAGCTTTCTCAAGAAGTCCCTTCCTACTCAGAGTTCAGCCCCAGAAGCTGGGCCTTGGGCTCCAATACCACTTCCCCGGCTGCCTGGGCAACTGCGGGTCGCACCCACCAGTGCCAGTGTAGTCCTTCAGCCCAACACCCTGATATATTCCTGGTGCCACACCACCCACACTGAAGCCCTGTAGATGTGGCTTGTTTTTGGTTTGGAGTTTGTTGTTTGCAAAATCTAGGAAGTCTTATGTGTGGCTGCTATCCTTGAGTTTCCTTAAGTACCTAATAATTATGTATATTCAAGTTGTCATTCCCCTCTAGCAGCTCTGTTCTGTTGGGCAGGTATGTTGTCAGCTGACCTATCCTTCTCTGGCTGCTGGTAACCTGAAGATGGTTTGTTGATTTTCTTCACTGGCAGTTTGGGGCTCAGCTCTAACATGACAGCTCTGCAAGTAATGGAAGGTGAAATGTCTTCTATGGCACAGCAGTGGGAGAAAAAAAGAGGCTGTCGAAGCGAACGAAGTCCCATGTTCTCCCAAGCCTCACCAGGAAGCAAGCCCACCCATCTGCTCCTTCTTGCCTAGAAGGACAGGGAATCTGGGCATACTCACAGAAGATATTTGCTGACCTTGCTCAGAGGATCCAAAAGTCTCTGTGGTTAAGCTCTTCTGCTCCTCACCCCAGATCTGACGCTATCTTTCAGATACCCACTAGTTCATGAGAAAGCAAGCTGTTCACCAAATCTCCACTTCCACTCCAGCTAGAACCAAACCTTGTCTGCTTCCAGATGCCTACGGCGCTGCAACCATAGTCCTCAGGAGAGGAATTATAAACCAGAAAACGAAGGTGAAAGGGGAATGCTTCAAGTTTACAGGTTGCTGTCTTAGCTTTATCCTAATTCCTCATAATTCCTGCCTTATTTAAGCTATAATAAGAAGCAAATAAATTTTATTATGGTAATGAAAATTCAGAATCATTTGGAATAGTCTAATATATAAGTTTAAAGGCACTTAAGCATAAATTAGTGTTATATTTAGTACATTTTTGAGAAATACATCTGTCCATTTTTTCCTTACTAGAAATTTCCTTAGAGCAAGCATAAATATCAAAGACCAAACTATTAATGTTTCAGAGTTTAAATATAGAAAATTTCTTCATGCACTACATTTTAGCAGTTTCAATTTTCATTCCTGGTGTCCTTCAAGGGAGATATGTTACTATTTGGAGACCACCTCCCTCACAGACAACCCAAATGTGCACCTTATAAATCTCATACTACAGGTTAATACACTCAAATGAGGAAGCTTTTTAGAAAACTCAGACAGGGACAAGGCACAGGATGAAAACAATGTGCCTAAAATCCTCAGTTATATCACACTAGTGCTGGTTGATCTTCTTTCTTGTTTCTACAACTCAATGCTTATATATGATTAGCCTCTCAAAAAGTAAAGTAGTAAAAAGTAGTAAAAAATCACCTCAACAAGCAAGCAAAAAAAGTACAGCTAGGGGAGAATTTACTAAGTGAACTATCTCCACTTGCAAGTACCCTTACCACACTGTGGATGTGCATGTGTGGGATGAACATGCACGTGGGCAACACATTTTGAGGAAGTTATAAGCAGAGGCCTCCATGGAGCCCAGTGAGGCAAAGATAACAAACTGCCAACTCTCCAACTCCATGATCTATTTTATCCTTGCATGTTACTACCCAGAATAATGACTATCTTCTCCACCCTCCCTCAGCTTGGAGTGCCCATGTGACTAACCAAAATGGAAGCAAAAGAGCTATGTCTCCCTAAAAGGAGATTGCTGTTCCCTCTTACTACTTCCTGTAGCAAAGAATGCTGATACAATGTCTGGAGCTTCAGTGGTCATCCTGAACCATGAGGTAGGTGGTCTTGAGGACAGAGGACAAGAATTAAGATGGAACATGAGATGGGGAAAGCAGCATGACAGGAAAAGCCTGGATCTGATAACCAAGAAATATCACATCAGTCCTAGTTGCATATATTTCAACATCTTTTAGGAGTGAGATAAGCTTCTATTTTTTTCTAACTCACTTTTTTAGTAGAAATTTCCATTATAAACAGCTAAAACAATATTACCATATGGAAATATTTACAAAGTATTCAAACTATCTTATAAAATATAGTAAACATCTTCTTCTAATTCCAGCTACACTTATTTAGCTATTACTACTATTTAACCACTGCTTTATAGCATTCAGTAAATCTTAAAATAAAGAGCACCTTCAATGCTTTTAAAAAATTAGATACAGGTGAACATATTCTAAAAAATGATTCATAAATTCTAATGTAAACAAAACCAAACTGCAAGGGATGCTACTGTATTTAATTTTTTAATTTATATTCTATTAAAAAATAACTATGGTTGTACAAAAAAAAAGAAATCTATATCTCACACATATTGCCCCATACTATTCTTATAAGATAAATGACACTCCCATCACAAAATAAAATATTATTAATCCATAAGAGAAAAACCATAATAGTCATTCATATAACATACACTGAATAACAGATGCACATTCAACCAAGAAAAAATACATTTTAGAAAAGCAATCCTTGACATAATTAAAAAAAAAAAAAACATGCATTTGGTACTGATATGTCACAATATTTTTTGATCTAATAAAAAAGTGTTATAGCAACCAAATAATAACACAAGTTTAACAAAATTTATCACAAAAATATTTCTTTCAAATAATAACTAGCTTTCAGGTACCTAAATTTTCCATTCTTAACATGATCACCAAAGCAAAAACATTATCAAATTACTAGAGCTTTTGTTTTTCTCCGAACATGTTACTAACCAGAACAAAGACTATATTCTCTGCCTTCTTTCAGATTCTTCCTCAAATTACTATAACTGTGTAACTATGATTTAATGGTGCATGTTTGTAATCTCAGCTACTCCAGGCAGGAGGACTGCAAGTTCAAAGCCAGCCTCAGCAACTTAGCAAGACCCTAAATAACTCAGTGGGACACTGTGTCAAAATAAAAAAATAAAAAGGGCTTGGGATGTAGGTTGGTGGTAACACCCTTGGGATTCAATCCCCAATACCAATAAATAAATACATATGTACATATACATATATAAAAGTAGCCTAGCTGAAATTTAGTTCTATTAAAATAGGATTATTTTTAAAAATACTTACGGGGGATATCATGTCATTATTTTCACAATTAGAAGTCAAAATCCTACATTTTTTATAAATGTCGATCAGATCTACCATATTACTATTCGTCAAAAAATCATCATAAGTCTTCTTAATGTCTTCATAATGGTCAACCACTTCCATATCTTCAATGGGTAAGTTTAATTTCTCATGTAGTAAGAATTTCCATGTCATTAAAACATCACTGAGAGAGACTGTAAATTCTTCATAGTGCTGAAAGAGATGATGCCAAGAGGAAAAAAAGGATAAAGTTGGGTGCCAATATATTCATTAACTTATAATTAAGATGGGAAATGCACATAAAATTTTGATGAGGCAAAACTTGCACACGACAAAACTGGTAAACAGAGTCATAGACTTATTTCCTAAATTTCACTGGATTTCTTCTACTCAGGGTCAAAGGAGGAGTGGGCAGTGATCAGTCCTTAAAGTACTACTGACTGGGAAACATTTGTTGCTGTAATATTTACTTCCTTTTAATTAATGAGTTTTTGCTGTTTTGTTTTGTTTTACAGTCCTGGGAATTGAACTCAGGACCTCACATGTTAGGCAAACCCTCTACCACTGAGCAACATGGATCTGCAGCCTTACCTAATATATCTTTAATCTTTTATTAAAAATTGCTAACGTCATAATGATTCCTACACAACACAAGGTTTCAATGTCTTGAAAATATGGTCTTAGGAGTTTTTTCAAAATGATGTTTCATTCCACTAGTGTTGGAGGGTAAACAAAATATCAGTGCTAAAACCTAGGGCTTGAAAATAATTTTGATTCTTCCCTGTTTATAGACACACTAAACTGTAACAAATAAGCGTTAAAAAGCAAAAGTCAGGTTTTTTTCTATAGGTTCTCAGATGTTTCTAATCAGGCAAAATATTCTTTTGCTTTCTCTATTTTGACTTTCTAATTTTCCTGAATGAAATACAACAGATTGTAACCTGGCTACAGTGACTTATAGTTACTTAGAGACCCACTAATGTTATCAACATGTTTGTGTGTCAGTACTTTATCTAACAACAAAAATTTATTTAAAGTCTCTTCGTCAATATCTACATGATAAATTCTCTCATTGGACATGCTGAAGGTTTTGGTTTTTTAGGGACTGCATGCATTCTTTTCCTACATTAATACTCTACATATTAATAACACTGACGACTAAAAAGTGCCAGCTTTCATTCAGTAAAAATTTGTTTCTTTCCAACGTAGCATGAATAACAAATGTTTCAGTATTCATATGTGATTTTGTAAAATGTAATATGTGCTATCTTCAATTGTTATGTTCCCTTAATATATTAGTAGTTTCTGCTAATACCAAGCCCTTTCCACTAAACCCATTTGAAGATGGGAGGATAATTAAGAACTGCATAATTCACTGAAACTAAATTGTTAACACCATCTTTATACAATGAAGAATAATAAAAAGAAATCAACACACCCAACCCACATTTTCTATATATTTGATGCATTGAAATCTTTATCTTCATATCTTTTATGATAATCAGTCACATTTGCTACTTACTATCCAAATTTATGACAAGGTGTCTTAAAATAATTAACTCTACTTTTTCATCTGGAGACGACTAAGAAAATCATCCTGTTGTCCTTAGGATAGGAACCTATTATACCAGGAATATGAAAATTCACTATTGTCTATGAAGCTAATTCAATGAACAACCAAAACAAATCAGTAATTCTCAAACCTAAACATAAGACAGATTTGTAACTTCCCAGCACTGCATCAAAAATTGGACACTTAAATTCCCAATTCCAGAAAGCTTACAGTCCAGAATATTTCCAAGTGGTATTAAATTAAATAAATCCAGATACTTAGAGTTTCAAAACTCACTTATTTTATCTCCAAAATTTCTAAAACTGTTGTTGGTATGACATTCTTCATGTTTAAAATCAATTAAGATTTTTGCCTAATGTAAATGTACAATTTATTCTCACTCTGTTGAATACAACCAGTTAAAATAAAACCATGCAAGCTCTTCATCTTGTGAGAAAAGGTTTTGACTAGATTAACAGTGTTTATACTGGGACAGTAAAAACATTTTAAATCCAAATAAAAATGCACTCCAGATATCAGTTTTCATGATCAGGTGCCCACCATGACAGCATATTCTATTATTCAAACCAGTAACAACTGATTGAGAGAGTCTGTGGTCAAATCAGAAAATGTTTTGGTAGGAGAACACGCCAGCTGGCTAATATATGAAGGAAGTTCAAAATGTTCAATTCTTTAATTCTCTGATGGACCTAAGGATTGTATTTCATAAGAATTAAATGAGCAAAGAAAGAGTTACACATTTTTCAGAGCACTTGTACTCTGATTATATATTATATCAGTTACTTTATAATAATTCAAAATAATTCAAAATGTAAATAAAATTTACACTTTTGAATTATGAAACTTTTGTTGTTAGTATGAAAGATAGCAGGTCTATTAAAGACCACTAATTAATTGTGTGACCTTGGTTATTGACCTTGCTTGCTAGTAAAGAGCATTAAACCATAGTGTGACCAGTTTCCTTGGTTAAAAAATGAGATTGTACAAATAAAATAATACCTGATAAATGGTAGAATAAAAAATGTCAATTTCCTTTCTCTTTTCCTACTCTAAGTAAAATAATTGTTGGGGGAAGGGTGGTACATAAATACAATAAAAATTTAAAACCTCTTTCTTCTCATTTCTTGGGTCACTATTAGGTCATTTTCAAATGTGACAAGTCTACCACAGATGCTGAGATTGCTTTCCATGAAGTAATAAAACTGATACCTTTGTCTATTTCACAAAATGAAACATTTGAAACCTTCTTAGTACGAGCATATAAGGTGAAAAATATTCAATATAACGTAATTTCCAGAGAGATTCAAACTACGAAATCATTTCCAAAGAAAGAAAAGACCACAATACTATTTGCCAACTAAAGAAGTTATGTATATTTGCCATATAGTAAAGTCAAGTCCTCAATGAATCTATAGGTTACCTTTTTAGCAATATAAAGCTTTTGGAGTCATGAGTCAAGCCAAAAAAATTCCCCCTCAAAAAGAATGTGAAAAATATAAAACCAAAAGATTATTGTAACATACTTTTTCTTCCATTTAAGCAGTTAATAAAACAAACATGACATGACAGACTAACAATTCTACTAGGTATTCAAGAGTTTAGTTGTAATAAAATTCAGTTGTAAGGACACACTGTAGGACTCACGCTTTCAAACTTAAGAGAACTTAAGTAAAAAGAATTCAAAGGATGAAACATATAGGTAAAGGATATATATATATAACCCACTCCACCCTACTATTACCATATGCTATTATGTAGGGGTGTGTGTGTTGCTTTATACTGTTGAGTGCCTGGAAGGCTGAGCATAATTGACAGTGGCTGCGCTGATGTGTCCATAGAGCTAAATAAAACTGAACTGCAAAACAACAACACCACTCACTGCACACATGCACACCCAATTGTGAACTGTGAAAAGTTCAGTCAGAATCACCTCTCCTCTTCCCCACCTAGAATCTGAACTTTCACAGTGAATTAAGTAAATTGGCAAGCAGCAAATTAGCAAGCAGAAAAAGACACTGAACTACTGCTTACATACACACGCCCTGAATAAAAACTGTCTTTGGTTGAATATTTCAATATTATCAAGATTTTTATTATGACAACTAAACGTCTTCAGAGTATATTTTACTTAGCTTGTTGATAAAATATGTTCATCCTTTTAAAATGAGAGGATTTGATTCCAGAAAAACAGCCTTCAATCATATATAATATTGATACTTCATCACGTTAATGTCTCTATTTTCTAGTAAATGGCCACCAAGGTTTAACCCCTGCTATACTGTTCTATTTATATTATATCTTCAGAATCTCTTACTTACCTTGGTGTCATTTCTTCAGATTATTAAAGACAGACACTTTAATTTTACATTGGGAGTCAAATTGGCAAGGCTTGGATTTGGGTTGCAATGGGAAACAAAGGAAAGGGACTCTGGGATAACCCTTGGGTGTTAGGTGTCTCTTTCAGTGACCAGTGAACAATGGTATCTACTATTGAGAATAAGAATATGAATGGGAAGACAATTTAAGGAAACAAATGAAGTGCACTAGTTTTAGGAATTGATGTGGAGATGTAATGGAGCAGCAAAGGAGCACTTGATCATACCAGACTAAGAACCAACAGATTTCCAACATAAATGCTGGTGAAATGCATTCAATTCAAGTAGATCAAATGAAGGCCACTGGAAGCTACTCAGGGAATAAAGATATGCCACTATAAATGATGCTGCTCTGGAATATTGAAAACTTAGGCTAAAAGCACTAATAAAGAGCAGATGCAAGAAGACCACTCTCAACTTCCCAATGTTTCTTACAGCAGATTAAATTACCATGTTAAAAAGTCCTCTCTATTCCAGAAGGAAAGTAACATTCTTACCGTCAAGCAAAGGAATTTGAGGCCAAGAGAAATCTGAACAGGTCTCTTTAAATAACCTTACCTTCCTAGCCTCTTCTCTATCCAATTAACTACCTGGCTCAATCTCTTTGCCATGTCACATTTTCATTTTATTAGTCTCTGTCAAATTCCACACATAAATGTTCAACTTGAACTTTCTTCTGGGTTTTCATTTCCTTATGAAGACTCCCATGTCACATGAAGACTTGTATTAAATAAATCTGTGTGCACTTACCCTATTGATCTGTCTTCTGCCAATTTAATTCTTAGGTCTAGTGGAAAAACTCTAGAAGGGCAGAGGTAAAATTTTGCCTCCACAAAACATGAACAAAGTGTAAAACAAGGAAAGTATATAAAATATGTACAGAATCTTTCAAACAATACAAAGATAAACCAACTTGATGGTGTCAAAAGCCAAAGATATGAACAGAGAATTTAAGAAAAGTCCTAGTCTCATAAAGTAAGTTTGGAATTATGTCTTCTACAGTGTTCTGGAAGAGATGGAGAAGGGTTGAAATTAGTTCTTTCAATGTTTGGGAGTATTCACAGTGAAGCCATCAGGTTTGGGGCCTTTCTTTAATGGGAGACTTTTTATTACAGGATTCAATTTCACGTCATTTGGTTTGTTCAGATTTTCTATTTCATCATGATTTAGCATATATCAAGGCATCTGAGTATTTCTTCTAGGTTACACAGTTGTATATTGTTCATATTAGTCTGGTCAGGGCTTGGAATGATCATTTATACTTC